CTATATTTTAGTCTTTTTAAAATAAAATTTAAAAAAACCAAAAATTGTAATCCAGGAAGTTAATCAGTGTTAAATTTTACAGTTCTTGATAAATTTGATGGGCTCTATCATTGTTAATAAAGGAATGTTCTGAAAATAGTTCAGCTAGAGATATGCACAGAGGAAAACAATTATTTGTGGGGTAGGATAGGCCTCTTTTACTTCACAGATCGGCACATGAAAGCAATTAGGTGCATCTGTATTGATAATTAACCAGGCAGCTAATGGCTTATATAAAGATGGTCAGGTGTGGACTCTCGCAGCACGTAAGGCTGACGTGGGTAGCCATGTCTATATATTTAAGCTTGCCCGTTGGTATGGTGTCTCGGGGTGAGGAGGGTGACTTAAGATCTAGTTATCTTTTTTTTTTAATTTATTTATTTATGTGGGCGGGGCTGGCTGGCATGTGGTGCTGGGGGATTGAACCGCGGTCCCTGTGCTTTGCTAAGCTTGTTCTAAGTAGGTGCTTTAGACCACTGAGTCATCTCTCCAGCCCCATCTATTTATCTTTTTACCAAGCTTGTGAATACTGCAGGGGGCTGGAATGTGTGTTAAAATTGTGCTCCAAGAAGGAAGATTCCTGCAGTTAAGACGTAGCCTAAGCAAACTGTTGCTCAGTCAAAGAAAAAATATACCAAAGTATTGTTTTCTCTTTCAGCTTTTATCTGACAAGCATATATGATCATTCAATATTTGAAGCTTTTAGCAAGGTGGTTCAGAAGCTTATTCCACAACTCCCAACTCTAGAGAATTTGCTGAACATCTTTATCTCGGTAAGTAAGTAAATTGCTCCTGTTAGAATGTTTACAGAATTTGACAGTCACATTCTAAGAGTGAAAAAGATCTTATTTCTGCTTGATCTTACAGCGTGTCCAGGTCGCATAAGGATTCCTTTTGTTTTTTGTTTTTTTTTTTTGCGGAACCGGGGATTGAACTCAGATCCTTGTGTTTCCCAGTCAAGCGCTTATCGTACTGAGCCATCTCCCCAGTCCAAGGATTCCTTTTGATGATTACTCCTACATAATGTTTTAGAGCCTTTAAATTTTAATTCCCCAAGTGTGTGTCTCATTAGTACACTTGAAATGTTTATTAAGTTGTGGACAATCATCAACATTAACAGGACCCTACCAGAGTAGAAAGCATACAATTTGGTTTGGGTATTGAAGCATATACCTGAATAATTCTTATATGTTTAACACTGTGTGAATGGTCCACTGAGTGAGTGCTACAAACCACCAGCCTGAGAGGTAGGAAGTG